CACCTTGCTGCACTGCCCTCATGTGGCCAAAAAAAAATCAATTCATGGAGGTTTAAGTGTAGTGCAAAAGCAGTCAAACAAGTTGAATTATTGGTCAGCTTTTACATTAATCATCCATGTGTAGTTTGGGTAGCTTCTGTTTTTCAGACTTCCCTGTGGAATCATTGTGGCACCATATGTAACTTGTTTACCAAAAAAGATTTTGTTTTTGTTTTTAATATGCTAATAACTGTCCTCTTTCATCTGCCTGTCCCTTTTAACATGTTCACTCTCCACTGACGAAACACACACATCAGCTTTCAACAACATCATAATTTTAGTTCATTTGGGCTCTGTTAAAGCTTAGCAATTCCCAACAGAACCCACAGTATGTTCGTCTTTAATGGGAAATGCAAGAGGACTGGAGGCACGAGGTGTGACTGTAAATGAGGTTACAATTATTTCATCATGCAAAACCCTTTTCTTTATAGTTTTAACTTGAATGATTCCACTTGTTGCAATGCAGGACGCAGATCTGTTTTCAGTCTTGTCACGTTGCAGTATGACTTCTGCTTCATTAACACGATCATTATTAGAAAAACTTAAATTCACTTAATTATCCTATTTGAAGGAACTATAGTTGTGTTTTTGACAATCTGTTTCCATGTCTCTTTGCTTCAGTTTGAAGAGCACATGTATAGAAACAGTCTGGAATAGATTTTGTGCAGCAGATGATTATCAAACGTGGGTGATCTACTGTAGCATGTGTTGAGAACAGATGTTCTGCAGTAGAACAGAAAATGAAGCATATTGCAGATTTGATATCACAACAATAAAACAGTTGTATGTGGCAGAAAAGGTGATGCAAGAAAAAGAAATATGCCCAACACAATGTTTAATATATATTTCCGTATATACAAATCAGTGTATTCGCGAAGTGAAAAGCATCTATTTGCACATGATTTCAAAAGGTGAGTCACAGATAAAACACAAATCCCTCTACAGTTATTTGCACAGGGTTTTGAACCTGCGGTCTCTTACATATTTAAGAGTCATCTGACATTTATTTTCCCCCTTCTTTTGAGCCTGTTTAATCTATGCACCGTACTTACAGCATGCTCACATTCATATCCACTGTGTGATTGCTTGATACCAAAGTAAATAAAAGCGATGTGGAAGACAGCAGCTCTTGGGTTTCCATTTCTTTTCCCGACAGTACTTAAGGCATGGCAGGGTTTGGGGTGGAAAAGTGAAAATATTTTGGTACGGCACCAACATTTTTAGTTTCCTTTACTGAACTCAATTGATGACTAGCTGTGAAGTGGGACTAGAGGCACGGTAGGGGGTGTGTCAGCAGCTATCTTTGATGTTAAGGATTCACACTTGTGTTGCCTGCTCAGACCATGTCAGGCGTCTGCTTTTGTGGATTTTAAAAACGACTAATTTGGCACTGATATGTTTTTTTTTCATGGAGGAATTAATAAGGTACTAATGTTCTAGTGATATATCCTCAGGAGATGGTTGTTGCGTGTGTGACTGCTGCACACACAAAGAGAGGAATGTGAAGGTAGATGCATCCCATAGATGTCAAAGAGCAGCTGGTAATTACCCCCTCACCAGTAGCCAAATAGCATGTGGTTCACTGCCAGTTTCTGTTTGGCTCTTGGCTTATTATCACTGAAGCAACTCCAACATTGGGCAACAGTTCTTCTTGGATTGGAAGAACTTCTTAACGAAATGCATTATATCCTCCCCAGCTAATTTAACATTATTTGCCCACAGCATGTTACTTTTCTGCTCGTGGCGATTCCCTTTTATGGACATTGGTTTTCTCTGTGGGAGAAACTTTTTGGCAGAACCATACTTCAGACAAGAGTTATATTTGTGAAAACTTTAACTTAGAGTACACACTCACAAGGATTGATTTGAGAAAAGTTGCAAAATACTGTGTGAAAAAAGGAAGTATGGAGTATGTATGCTAAGCAGCCACATACTTAGAGCAATATAATAGCCTAATCTTATTTTCCAAATTATACTTTCAGCTTAAAGTGCAATAGGAAGCTAACATTATGTTAACATTGCCAATGTAAGCTCTTTCTGCCTTTAATTTCATCTGCACAAGTTCATGGAAATTCATATGAGAAATGTTGAACTGACCAATTTTACCTAGGATGTCCAAGTTAGCAGCTGGCTTACTGTCCGCTAATTGACAGAGCAATGGCTGTAACAGCTCCGAGGACATTGATTGCTCAGAAATTGAGTGCCACTGTGGTTTGTGTCCAAACCACAGTGTTTCAGACCAATCGACGTCCTTGGTGGAGGAACTACTGGCAGCTGCGGCATGAGCAATAGGCGTGGCTCTGCTGCTACAAAGAAGGTTTGTAGGCATCAAGCTCTTTGGTAGCTGCTGAACAAAAGTGAGATACTGAGAGTGTTCCTCTGATGCTCTAATTTCTCTTCTTCACTTAAGAGCAACAAACTCTCTTGTCAAATCAGCGTGAGTTAATGTAAAAACACATGTTCTTCAGAGAGTTATTCGGTTGGTTTTATGTCTTTTCCACCCTTTTTAACTAATTTATTGAGAACAGATCTGGTGTACAGAATGTGAATATAGAGATGTAGTGCCTCTGCCTCTGAGATGTAGTGGAGAAGAACTCCACTACATCTCAGAGGCACATATCATACTTTTTACTCCATTACATTTGTCTGAAAGCTTTAATACTTTTCAGATTGCTGTTTTTTGTACAATTCCTGTCTTGTGAAAACCATGTCTCCCCAAATCTAGTGATTCTGAATGTGGATTGTTCTGATAAACTGATTTATACTTCAACAATTTAAACCCTCCTTGGATTAGCTGCATTGTCTCAGACCTGAAAGCAGGGCAGTTTTATGCTGATACTTGTTCTCATAGGACATCAACACTACAAACATATGATAATCTTATGAAATATAATGCATTGCTGTAGATTAAACTACCCAACAGTATATTACGTAGTCACCTACAGCAGCAAATTGCAACATACACATGCAGCAGTATATTAATCCAAAAACATCATCATAATTTTTCTGCTAAATGAGTACTTTTGCTTTTGATAAGTGATTTGATGATCCTTACATACTTTTACTAAAGTAAGGTTTTGAATACAGGACTTTTGTAGTGGAGTATTTTCATAATGTTGTTCTGCTATTTCTTAGCAAAGCAATGCTAAAAGCTGTCCATAATGTGTTTTTCTGCTAAATATATTTGCATTGCTGACTATACTACTGAACAACTCTAAAAAACTGAAACCAAAGATCGATAGCAGTCCAGCTGGTGGTGCATCCTATCAGTTATATAAAGGAACGTTGATTTCTGAGCGAAGGAACTAACTGTGAAATGACACCCTTCCTGAATATGCCATTGATGGCCAACATAAAACTGTTGGTGCACATTACTACATGCAGCACACATTTTCACTAGGTGTCACCAGCTGCTGTTAATGTGAATGAGAGCAGCTGGTGACTTATTACTTCTATGTGAACTGTTTTTCAGGCCACCTCTGTTGGACCAGTGCCTGTGGACATGAAATTACCAAAAAATTCAGTCAGTATCTGATAATATCAGCTGATATGCACTGATACACTCGTATTATCTTGGCTTTAATGGTGTAGATCCCATCAGCAAGAATGCTTTAATATTCAATACAATATGAATCATGAATATTGTAATAAACTGATGACTTTAAGGACTCAGCGCTATTCTCTGGCTCCATGCTGCCTCATGAATTTGGATTTCATTTTCATATGGTAATGACACTTATCTCTACTTAGCCACTAAACTGACTGAAAGTGATTAGCTACTCCTAATTCCTAAAAGTTAGAGGTGCGTTGGTCCACATCAAAATTTGGATATTTGTCTACATTTTTATTTTTGGTATTTTACTGGAGTTTTGCTGATATTAAAATTGTAAAATTGATTATCTTGGTAGAGAGATCTAAAGAGACACACTCTGACCTTGTAAAGTGTACATCACATCAGCATTAGATGCAGCAAATAGAAAAATAAATAAATCACATATACAGGATGTGCCTATAAAAAGTTAAAAGCTCACTGCAAATATTATAAAATATTCTACATTCCATGGATCGTTTCACATTTGGAGAATTACACTTTCTTGTTGAGTTAGATGGGACGATTGATAAAACTCTAATATCTCTCTGTTAATCATGAAGCTACAGTCAGCAGGTGATTAGCTTAGCTTAGCATAAAGACTGGGAATAGGGGAAACAGCTAGCGATATAACATTAAACAAAAAATACCCCAAGATGGACAGGAAATCACTGGAGGGCTGATCTAGGGAATGACTGCACCTGGCCAAGAAATATAATAATTGTATTTCCCAACATGTCAAGCTATTTCTAATACTTACAGTGTACAAACTATATTCTCTTTCATGTACAAATGTTGATAGGGCACTATTTTAGCCATTGCTGTACTAAGGAGAACTGTTGGCGTGTTGGAGGCAGAGCTCTGTTCATTCCTATGCTGCTCAGTGGCGCAGGGAGCCAAAAAAGTTTGACTTCCAGGCATAAAATTACCTGCACTTCAACCTGCAAGCAGGCTAACTTCCATTCCACTAACTTTAATGGTGATAAAATGATTTAATCATGCAGATCTTCTAGACTTTCCAAATGTTATTAGTCCAAATGGATTGAGTTCTGAGAGTGAAATTAGTCATTTTGCAAGTTTCCAGCTCCTCCTTTCACAGTATAAGCATATGGGGAAAAGTCTGTGCTTCATGTGACGTTGGCATTACACGGTTTGGCCACTATGTTAAACTGGCTTCAAAACCCAACTCACTTCCTGGGGGATTGAATTTAGCGAAGAGATGAATGCACTTACTGTACTTTTTTCCATTTTGTACTAAATCTTGAAATGATACAAAATATGTGCTAATAGATGTTAATCAAACTCTGATGGATGCACTGCTGTATTCAATTCTGAAAAATTCACAAACCGCAATAATATTTTTCAAGGATGAATACTTATTTTTATTGTTTTTGTTTTCTGATAATCCCTTGAACCATCAACAAATTCAAGCCTTTTATCAACTGGGAGTAGCTCCTCCATTTCCATGTGCACTGCACTATTTTACAATAGTGTCCACTAAAAATTAGGGACATTTTAGTATGCAAAATGCCCTTTCAAGTGTACTTCATTATGTAATGGTTTCTATGTGAAGGTCTTACATACTCAAGACATGGTTACAAATACTTTAAGTAGATGTGGATATGTTACTAGGACACATGGATGAGTTAAATTGTCTAAGTCTGATACCTGATTGGTTATTCAGCATTAAAAAAAGAACAGAGAAATGTGTCTCTTACAGAATTTTGGTATACCATCACTTCACGAGTCAATACAATATTCGTAATACAAATATCATTTACTTTTACATGTGACCCCAAGACATAGGATGTCTGACCATTTGATAGTGACACAGAGAGAAAGAAAAATGGAGAAACCACAAAAACAGAGAGGTAGGCACTGTAAGAATCCCAAACACAGGTTATGTGCTGTTGAAGCCTGACCTGAACCCCACTGAGGCCACGGGACTAATTGTTAATTATGCCAGGCTGATGAAAAAGAGCTCAAGTGTAAATGAATGTGTCAGTCTGGAGGAGCACTCAGATACACCTTTTACCCCCACAAAGGAAAATCAGCATTATTTTAAACTTGACAGTGCACTCCAGCAGTTCAGAGCGGCTGGTTATTATTCATGGTGAAATTAAAGTTCTGATGTTGTTGGTAAAAATGAGAGAGGGAGAAAGAAATGAAGGAAAAAAACAAAAAGAAGAATGAGGAGGAAAAAGGTATAAATCATAGCTGACAGTGTTTAAGTCTGTGGCTTTTGGAAATGTGTGTGTCACTGTATCAAGGTGGTGAAATAAATTGTACCTTGGGGCAAAAGGTGGAAAGAGGGAAGAATATGAAAGGATGTCACTGACTTTTTCTGAAGCAGAATAAAAAATGACCACAGCCCCTTTTATTGACAAAATCCTCGCAGGCTTTCCTGATGTTCAGCTGTCTAATCAATGACCAAATTACTGTCATCTACTGTGTCTAGCCTTTGCCTGTTCCTGTGGCCTGGGGGCAAGACTGAGGCAGGTTTAAGGCAATGTCCCTGAGACTGTCTCTCTCTTCCCTGATCTCCTGTAAGTCCTGTTCAATGAGGGACATCCGGCTCTGTTGTTCCTTAGCAGCTGACTGCAGCTTCTGGATTTTCAAGCCCAGTGTCGGGCTCTCAACACTCCCTCGAAGCATGCTCAGGCGGCGTGCTGTCTCGTTCAAGATCCGGTCAAATCTCTCCAGCGGCACGTTCCCATCTGGTCCAGACATGCAAGAGAGAGAACAGATGGAGGAAGAGAAAGCCCCAGACAGAGGCATCAGAAGTTTTTGTTTTGTAGATCATGGTTTGTAAATGGCTGTCATACATCAGTGATTCAAATGGTGGATCAGCCTGAACGCTGACCTAATTACGGTGATTTGGTCATTATCCTCTCAAGCATGTTGACATATTGAGTACTAAGTGTTGGATCCCTGCCTTTATAGTTAATTCTATAAATTGTGCAATACTTTATACAAGAAATTGGTTTGCATTAATAGGATCACAAATACACGGCTGAATTATTTGAACTCACTGAAATCTATCCACAAAGAAAATACAACTGGGCCTATGAACAGCAGTTATTCTTGCTTTACCATGGGGATAAAAGTCTGGGAAATATTTCCATGTTAAATGAGGCATTCAAAGGCACAGAGCTCTTTAGTGATCTGACATTTAAGGTGTAATGAAGATTTATGAGTTTTATAGATATGGAAGACTAAAAAGTAACCACAGTGAAAATCATCTGTAAGAGAGAGACTTACCAATCTTGCTGATTAACTCAGTTAGAGTAACAGAATAGGCCTTTAACTGAAGCTTGGCTGCTTTCATGTCCTCCTTTACGCTGGTCAGGGACACCTCAGGCTGGAAATAGGAAGACATACTCTTCAAACTGTCTTTCAAGCTATGCACAGGAAGTACAGATCAATATGCATAGATTCTGCTGTCCAAGAGTGTATATATCTTTGTTAGGTACCTCCGAGGTGATCTGGGATTTGGCTGTGTCAGTTAGCGTCTCTTGCTCAGCTAACTGTTGTAAAGCAGAGTCTACATAGGAGTGAAGGTGAGCAGACACAGTCCTTGTATGCTTGGCCTGGGTCAGAATGGCTTTGGATTCCTGCACACAAGATATTTGATTATTTACAGAACAATATTAAGAGTTCGCAGCCATTCTAGCAGAATGTGAGTGTACGTATTCTCACTTTTTGAGCTAAAATGTCTGCATAAGAATACGCTCAGAATGACATTTTACATTTTTACCATTTTCACCATTTAAGTTTAATGTGTTAGCGTCTTAAAATTTGCTAATTAGCAATAAATACAAAGTATAGCTGAGGCTGATGGGAATGTCATGGTCAACTCTGTCGCTTCACCCTCCCCTTCCAGGCCTGTATGAGAAATGATGGTGGTCATAAGAACAAATGAAAAACGGCCCTATCTACAGCCAGTGTTTGATTTGTAGGTTCTGGGTTACAGTAGAAACATGGCGGTTCAACATAACAGCCTCCACGGAAGGCAACCTGTTGCATCTGTAGATAAAAACAGCTCATTCTAAAGTATGAAAACACAACAATTCCTATATTCAGGTCATTATACACTAATGAAAACATACCTAAGAATATTATCTTCCATTTCTGCCAATAGATCCTCCTAAATGCTACACACTGGACCTTTAAGGGATCAACAAAGTTATTACAGTTCATCTTGACTGGACACATACCTTTGCCACAGCATGTGCTGTTTGTTCTGCCTCCTTCGTTGTGTTGCTGAAGAGGCTGGAGTTCTCCAGAGCTGGTTCTAGCATCTTCTCAATTTGTGAAACTCTTCTCCTGACATCAGCTAGAACCTTCCCCTCCAGGGGTTTTTCCTTCTTTATTGCAGCGTGGGTCTGGGCCTGCCGACGGGGCCACTCCCTCACCATGTCTGAATGGAGATTGTGAAGAAGGCAGGTAGTAGGAAAAAAAGACCTGAAAACTTGGTTTAAAATCCTATAAAATTATTTTCTTATAAAATTAAGGTTATGAGCAGATATGCAAAAATCAAATGTAAAGTTTGAAAAAGACATTCAGAGGTATTATTTATTAAGAGTTTAACATTACAAAACTTAAGTAATTCCACATCATCAGGGCTGTGTGGATGTTGTTTTAACAGATTTGATTGAGAGACCATCGACCCACTAACTGTCACCAGATACTGGGTCAAATGTTGCTAAATCTGATTGGTGCATGGATTTATGGGACATCACAAATGTCCCGCCCACTTCAAACCAGCGAGCTCAGACAAAAACACAAATACAGAAATCTCTCTTTGGTTGACATTTTTGTGTTCATTTTTGTGTTCAGGGCCTTTAAGACATTCAAGGTTGTATTGAGTTATAAGAAAATTGGATTCAAATGGATGACTGTCTACTTGCTGAATTTTATTTTCATTATTCATCCTCTGCTTATTTTGTGCTACTTTACTATTACAATGAAAGTCTAAGAAAATCACAAAATCACTTAAGATTCTCTTCATGTATCATAAACAGCCAGAATTTCATTAATATATTTGATGCCATAAAACTCCTCAAAACATCCCACTTCATTACATTTTTTACCTAAGCCATTGCTGCATTTAATACATGCCAAGTAGGTGAAAACATTACAATGGTGATGACATATTTATTATAGTAATACTCTAGTCTATAGCTCTTATGTTTGTTTTCAGTGTCAGTACTTGACATTTCAATTTGAGTAGAATAATTCAGTTCGATGTTCAACAAAAACAACAATGTAAGACAGAGTGAGTGAAAAGGAGAAACAAGATAGACAGATAGAAACTCACTTTCTAGTTCTTTGTGCAGTGTGATGACGTCTGATTCCACCTCTTTCCCTGTCACCACTGACGACAAAGCCTTGACCTTTGCCCCTTGAGCGCGAGCTTGCAGCTTGAGAAAGAGACACACTACCTCAGTTGAGCCGAGTGTATTAAAGGCTTTACTGTGGTGTAAAGAGGAGGGAGGACAGTGTACCGTGGGTATTTACTTGGGCACAGCTGCATTTTGAGCTAAATGCTAACATGTGCACAATGTTAATGCCAACATGTTGATGTTTAGCAGGTGCATTGTTTACAATATTCACCATCTTAGTGTTTATTGTGTTAGCCTGCTAGCATTTGCCAACAAGCAATAAACACAAAGTACAGCGAAGGCTGATGGGAATGTCGTTATTTTTGCATGGTCATAAACCAAAGTATTGGAAAAATTTAAGGGATCATTAAAGTTATTACAATTCATCCTGAAGGGAACATGATTGTCTGTACCAAGTGGCATATCATCCTTCCAGTAGTTGTCAAGACATTTCATTTGAAACCACAAATCTCAACCTCGTGGTGGCACTAGAAGTCAGGATTCATCCTCTGGGTACTAGGAATGTCTGTACAAAATGTCTATCCATCTAATTATTGTTGAGATATTTCAGACAAACTGCTAGTATGGATAGTAAAAACATTTACATTAGCATTAAAAAGGAAAATGAATAAACATTCAAAATATCTAGACATAACACCACATGCTGCAGTAAATGTAGTCACCTCGCTGACATCATCCACCATCTCCAGTTTCTTGTTGGTGTTCTGTTTTACAGACTCAGTTTCCGCTCTGATCTTACTGATGAGATTGTCTTTAGTCTGAATTTGCCGGTCCAGCTCTTCTGTCTTTTCTATCAGGTCCTCGCCCCACTAAACAGGGAACAGAAATACAGAATACAGAAATTCAATGCTTTCATTAAAACAATCCCATTTTGCTTTCTCTGTCACTTTTGCAGAAAATTCTACCATCGTTCAGCCACTTACAGAGGGCACATTAGCCTATTTCTCTGTCATTTTACAGTGTTTTGTCTGCTCAGAGATGCTGCAGTGGTTAATCACCCTCCTCTGGAACAACATGTTCCCCTATGAGCAACAAATCCTGCCAGCATCTTCTCTCCTGTGCCTACTCAGTGTCCCCTACTGCTTGCCAAATGTTAAATTAAGAAAAAAAAAATGAAGTGGAGTTAACTGCCCACTCTTCAAAATATGAGAGATACTTATTCCTATATGAGCCTAGTTAAATGATCTGAAATGGTTTCTTGTATATGTGCAGTTATCAAACAAGCTACTAAATGATTCACTATGGGTCTATAATTTGACATAATAACGCTTCAAATTCCATTTGTACCCTGCAGGTGCTGTCCAAACTGACCTCTGTTGTGCGGTTGGTTGGATGTGTTTGGTTGAGCTGTGTTTGGTCAAGCTCTGATGATGGGCTGGCATCTGTCAGAGCCAGCTGATGTAAGGATGATGTGATGTTACCCAGGGCAAGCTTTAAACCAGCAGCCTCCTCCTCCAGGGCCAGCTGTTTGGCTACAGTATCATTCACCTGTGCTGTCAGGTTCGCCTTCTGCTGCTGCATTTGTGCTATTCTAAGATGAAATAAGTGGAGAAAAAAAGCAGAGAAATATAGGAACATATCATGTACTGTAATACCCACTTTTTTAAAATAATGTTTTTATTTATACCAGGATGTGTGTTAGTGTTAATATGAAAAACTAAGCTTCAGAGCCTCACATATAATTCACATTATTCAGTGCAATCAATCTCATTCCTTAGGTCATAGAAGTTCTTGACTTGCCATATTT